TAGTATTGTGTAATGAACTTGAACCATTGTGTATTTAACTTGAATCATTGTGTATTTAACTTGTGTTTTGCTACAATATGCTCTGTTCTTAACTATGGGTCGTCTGTAACCTGGGCGTTCTTAACCCGGGGACCACCTGTAACTCAATTTGGGCCTTTTTTGCTATTTTTTTTAGTACTTGTGCAATATCTAACTGAAAAGACATTTTAGTGGAAATTGAGCTGTTACTAGTGGCTACTGAACATATGCAAGTGTGGGTTAGTAATAACATCAAGATATTTCAAAATGGGTACATGGATTATGAAAAATCACAGCAGTAAAGAATGATACCTATCAAAGGATGCAGAGAGAATGTATAAAAGGGGGCTTTGACTATGCAGAGAACAACTGATAACTGGGAATACAGATTCGTTGAGAAAGGAATAAAGATCTATGAAGATTTCTACACAGTGTATTTGATAGCAACTAGAAAGAAACACAACTTTCAGATTTTGTCCCCCTTTCTAAAATGTTGCTTTAGAAAGAATTCTGCTCATCTCTTGATTGAACTAAAAAATTAATGTGCTCTGTTTTCCTGAATGTATTATATTAATCGTATGCCAATGTATGTAAATGAGCCTAAATTCAGCAAGATGGATGTATTTAAATATTCATAATCACCAGGCAGCCTATGCAAACTAAGTTCTTAGCTGAATTGCAATGTGATATCTGAAAACCAGCTGTACCAGAGCAGAGGTATTTTACCATAATGGATTCGGTTGTTACTGAAAATGTTGACAATGTTACTTGGGTATACATTACAGAAAAAGAATATGCATAATATTAATGTTCATGTACTTCATGGATCTGGATGCAGACCACCATTCTTTTCTAAGCATTTGCTTTGATGGAAAATGTGGTTTACTTTCATGCTTAGAAAAACAGTAGCTGGCTATATATGCAGAATGTGACTAAATTTCTGGAAGCCATCAATTCAGCTCTCAGTTATTAATTTGTTTCCGCTAAATGCTCATCTCCTTTCATCATTCATTTACTCAGAGCAGTTTGATCTGGTGAGTGAAACAGTCCCTTTGGCTTGAGGAAGTCAGCGATGATTAGTACTGTAACATGCCAAAGTACATTATAATTTTTAGAGGGTGGCCAATATATATTGCTGCCATTTCTTTGACAGAATGCAGCCTGTAACTCTGTGTTTTGCAAAGGTCCCAGCTTCAGCCTCGGGAGGGACACTGCCACTGAGCAGAGATAGTACTCAGAATACAGAATGCTAACCAATTTCTGTACTGCAATTTGTCATGTATCGCCAATCCCTTTTGTTGATTTACAAAGTTGGGACAATCATCTTTTCTTGCCACTAAATCCCAAAATAAAGTTTAGGACTTAAGTACTCTTGGGAGTCACAGAAGGATAGACCAGTAGGGAGAGTAAAAAACCCAACCGTGGTCTCTGTTGGTAGAAGTGTGAAGGAATGTAGATCTGACCTTGGAAATGGGGAAGGCATGAGGGAACTCTTAACAGGGAATTTTGAGAAAAAATGACTCGGTTCGCAAAAGAGGAAAGCATGAGGAAGAAACTCAAAATAACCCTGCCTTGTCTTCATTCAGTATAAAATGGGGCAGAGAGAAACTCTGACAGGCTTTCAAGCTTCTGTTATTCTACCCTACTATTATAAAGAGTATTCCTGGAATGTCCGCCATGTCTGCTTCTTGATCTGGCCTACCTTGCAGGGCTGACAAGATAGGTGCACAACAATTTGCAGACAAAAAAGAGAGATTAGCTTGCTATTTCCCTGGAGACAGTTCTGAATTATCTTTTTTTTCTTCTTATCAAGCTGACAGCAATACAGTATTGGTCTTTCTTTCTTTTGTCTTTTTTTCCCCCTTTCCTTTTCTCTTTTGCTGAGAAATACCTATAGGTATTTTTTGTACTGAATTTCCAACCATCTCCCAATGTAAATTGACCACGTCGTCCATCGGTTGCAGTGGAAATACTCAAGCATGGATGTCAAACTGAATTTTTGTCTGAGCTACAGCACAAACATTTGCCAGAGGAAAAATACAGGCAGCTTCATCCTATCTGCATGCTAGGGAGGGAGGGAGGGAGGGAGG